TAGGCCTAAGTGATAAAGCATTTTTTTAAAGATGAGGATTTTATACTGATGCACTTTAGAGGTCGTATTTTGCAATTTCCATTGGATTAATGAAAAACATTAATTCACTTTAAATATATAATTATGGACACACATATTTTTAAGGAAATCTTGATTTAACCTGGTATTTTTATTATACTTTAATATTCAATATGTAATTTTAAACATWTTATGTTTTAGCTGAATGAATTTTTAGAATGGCAACAAAACAACTGTGATATAAGAATTGATGATGATTATATGAATTTTATAAGCGATACACTTTTTTCAACAGTAACCTCAAATTCTCGCATATTCGAATTTCCAAACGCCAGAGAAGGTATGTAAATATTTAAAAACTTAATAAATTCATATAATGTAGAAATCTTATAGATTTTTATGATTTGTGTATTACTCTTATTAAAATTTAAAATCATAATTGTTTTAAATGTGTTTACTGTAGAATCACATAGTAAAATACAAAACTTTCCTTTAGTTATTTTACTACAAAATAGATAGGTAGATGTGTTTTGTATACAGCTAAATATTTAATGAGGTTATGTTATGTCATTGATATATGCATGGCTAATTAATTTTGTGTTGTTTCGAATATTTATTATAAAGATAAGTTTCTAAATATAAGAGCTGTAGTTAGGTATTAGATAAGAGTTATTTTATTGGGGATTTGTGTATTACATCATATAAGTGTTGATTGACTGATCTAGCAAACATATTAATTTGTAGTTTATTTGCTTAATAAACCATTACTCTCCATTTACAATTATCAATAAAAATATGTTTTTAAAGAATAACTATTATTTCATGCGAGATACTTTTTTTTCAAACACATTAAATTCATTGAGTCTAAAGTACCTACAGCAATATTACTTTTTTCTTTAAAACAACTGTAATTTGATAATTAATTATGACTTCTTTGACTAAGGTTTATAATTCTCAAAATACCCAATAAATAAGAAATCATTAAAAATAAATAAAAATTGATGTATTCAACAGTTATGCAATGTTAAATAGATTAAAACTTATTTTACTTTTCTGGTTAGTCTAATCTTAATTAAATTAACTAATCATTAAAATTAAAATGTATGCTAAAAAAACCATTTGCTATTCAAAATAACAAATCATATTTTGCTAATTAAAATATAATCTTTGAAATTGGTGATATTTTTATTTTTGTTTATGTCTCTGAACCTTTGTGCCTCTGAGAAGGAGCAAAGGTGATGCTTTGAATCAAATATTAAACTTGTATATTAGGTATAGTGGAAATTATTAACTGCTCTATAACAAACTTAAAAATGTATCATGATAATGATTGAGTATAATGATTAAATTATTTTTTTATATTAATTTATGAATTTATGAGATAAGCTAGTATGATAATATTTATGATTTTGAGGTTGATGAAATCGGTATGGTTTTT